CGTGGTGTTATAGTTAAAAGCTAGAAGCTGGGAGACTGTGAGTTTTAATCTTGCCTTAAGCACAGCTGGGAGATCTGGTGCTAGCCAGGTCTCTCATCCCTAGGAAGCAGGCAGTGGCAAACCACTTCTGAAATCTTGCCATGTAGTCGCCAGGAGTCAAGATTGCTTAGAAGATATAGGTAGTCCTCGACTTACAACAGTTCGTTTAGTGACTGCTCAAAGTTACAACGACACTGAAAAAAGTGATGTATGACCATTTTTCACACTGCAGCATCCCCATGTTCACATGATCAAGATTCAGACGCTTGGCAACTGAGTCATATATTAGACTCTTGCTGTGTCCTGGAGTCATGCGATCGATCCCCTTTTGCGACCTTCTGACAAGCAAAGTCAATGTGAAAGCTAGAGTCACTTAACAACCGTGTCACTAAATAAACAACTGCAGTGATTCACTTAACAAATGTGGGAAAAGTCGTAAAATGGGGGAAAACTCACTTAACAAATGTCTCGCTTATTAACAATAGAAATTTTGGGCTCGGTTGTGGTCATAAGTTGAGAACTACTATATAAACATGCAGGTAGTCCTCAAAGTATGACCACAAATGAGCCCAACATTTCTGTTGTTAAGTGAAACATTTATTAAGGTTTGCCCTATTTTACAACCTTCCTTGCCACAGTAGTTAAGTGAATCGTTTGCAGTTCTTAAGTCAGGAGCATGGTTGTTATGTGAATCTCCCCATTGACTTTGCTTCTCAAAAGATCGCAAAAGATGACCACATGATCTTGGAACACTGCAATCGTCATAAATAAGAAGCAGTTGTCAAGTTTCTGAATGTAAAACATACGGCCCTGGAGATGCCGCAACGGTCATAAGTGTGAAAACTGATCATAAGTCACTTTTTTCAGTGCCATTGTAACTTCGAATGGTCACTGAATGAACTGTTGTAAGTCGAGGACTACCTGCATTACACAGAATGGCCTTAGGAGTTTCCTTTGGTCCCTCACCCTACCCACCCTGGGTATGAATATGAATTTAGCGTGATCAAGCAGAGGCAATCTACCCTAAAACTAATGTGCCACAGAAAATGCCACCTGGCCTGTTGATTTTCTGCATGCAAGTATCTCAACGTCTCATATCATGGTTTGCACTGAACACAGTCACATCTCCTGTAATTTCCAGGGCTGGAAAAAGAATCTTGCCTGGAAGATCGGTTAGTGGCAGAGAGACTATGGTGGTTGGCTTGATGTATCTTTCTAGGATTTTTTTTTCCAACTGAAAGAGCATTCAGCTCTGTGAGATATCTGGTTCCCTCCAGTTTGACAGTGGCCATGCCTGCAGGAACTAACCTTGATTCCCACAAGGTTTTTCCAGGAGCCAATCCCTCCTCTGGATTGAGGCTACATCTTAGAATAGGATCCAATCTTCTTTACAAGTGGC